GTTCTGCCTCCCATTCTACTTTTAAATACTCTAGGAACAACAAGTAGTCCTGCAGTGTAAGAGCAAAGTGCTCTAATAGGGTGATATGGTACTACAAGGTCATTAAGATAAGATGGGCCTGATTATTTAAGATGTTTTATATGAGGAGCAGGATTTTGAATTCAATTCTGGATTTAACAGGAAGCCAATGAGGGGAAGCCAATACAGGAGAAATATGCTCTCTCTTTCTAGTCCACTACTGGACTTGGAGAGACCAGAGACAGCCACTTCACAAGCACATGGCACAACATAGAAGAGCCACCTCCACGGGACAAGACTCAGCAGTTCATCTGTATCTAAAGGACAAAGGTCACTCTTTCGAGGATACCAATGTTCACATTTTGGACAGAGAGGACAGATGGTTTGAAAGAGGAGTGAAAGAAGCCATTTATGTCCACTGTGAGTGACCATCTTTGAACAGAGGCGGTGGCTTACGACACCAACTTTCTGCCAACTATAATCCAGTTTTTAGATCCCTTCCCAGACGCCTCAACGCCCACTCACATCCTGGGCCATCTGACCTCATGAAATAAAATGAAAGGGTTGGGCCAGGTTTCACAACGAGCTCACCCAAAACCCTGGCTGATTGTGACCCACACCTGTTTTCACACATTAGCTCATGCGATTAGGTAGAGCAGCGGTCCCTGACAATATTTTCACGGACCAGCCTTTAAGGTGTCGCGGATAAATACAACAAAATAAAACTAGTACCGGTACCGAAAAAAAGAAGATTTACTCATAACACACATGAAAAGACCCAGGAAAACCGAGTTAATGATAAAAACGATAGCAAAATAATGCTGAAAACCGAAAAAAAACCCCTGAAAACCATACATTTCACACCTGAGCCTCAACTCTCGTGGCCCGGTACCAAACGACTCATGGACCGGTACCGGTCCGAGGCCCGGGGGTTGGGGACCGCTGAGGTAGAGGATCATCAGGGGCTCCTTTTGTCCCTCTTTGTGGGCACATTCCCACGTGGTTTAAATCTGTGACTCTCCACCATTTGACCCTAGAACTGAAGAAGGTTCTCAGGTGAGAGGTGAAAGTCCAGATGCTTTTTTTTTTCCAAGCTCCTTAGACTACAATGATCTGGATGACTGAGAACATTCACAGACACTCTTTCATGATCAACACCAACAGAATAATAATTCCGAACAATAATTTCTTCCTCCAAAGGCTTAGAATTATTAAAATATTCCCAAACCAATCTATAATTGGATGTGTGTTGTGCAACATGGTCAATAATATAAATGAGTTCAAGTCAATTCAAAAGTACCATAGGCCATTTTGGCATTACATAGGAAAAGTAACAAAAGACTGTCATAGTGAATAGGGTGAAAGGACTCAGGTGCGAGACTCCTTGCAGAGTGACAGTTAATTTATTTATAGTGAAAAAATAAGGCAACAGTTCGAGTCTGTTATCCAAAAGGGCAGTGCAGTGATACGGTGACGTTCTCTCTCCTTCACACACTAGGTACACTAATCGCGACTACACTACCCAGTTTAGCTCAACATTCCAGCGTTGGTTGTGACACCGTTAAATAGGTCTGCTTCGGATTAGCAGCAGCCGGCAAAGTGATTAAGCACAGGTGCGGCGATTCCAGCTCAGGATACTCCCCCTGGGTCAGCTGCCGTTCCGTGCCACAGCTTCCAGAAGTACATGTTCCCGCACACAAACACAGACGCACAGGATGGAGAGGAGAACACCACAAAGTACACACAAACACAACAAAAATTGATGACCGGTGAGGACCGTCTAGCCGTGACACAGACAAAACTACAAAAATCAAATTTTTCACTCAACACTAGAACCATTAATTTAACATTCAGCCATAATGATAACACAAAAAACAGGTATTTAATAAATAAAACCAGTAATCAGGCGTTTGTTTGTTTTTTTATTCAAAAAAAATTATACACACCCACTGCTGTGCTATGAATTCTGGGATAGGATTGGCCACCAAGGATACATCTGACCCATCTTTCAAATTCGGGGAAATGAAGTACGCATTTGTCGGCCGCATTTGGAGCAGCCTTCGAAATGGGACAGACTTCATCGCATCGCAACGTCACCTACTTCCAAGATGCATGGAAAGGATAAAAAACCTCACAATGCAGGGATTCCAGCAACACTTAATTAACTGCTCAATTAATTAAGTTGTTCTTCTTTACTTTCAAGTGTTGCTGGACATAACCTGTGTTGCTGTAATGTAATTGGACTTCAAATGCAGCCTCAGAAGGATGTAGATTTTGAATTGAGATGCTGCTTTTGTATAGCTCATGTTGTGTTTTTGTCCTCTCAGACTGTCGTGTGGAGGTGGAGGAGGGGGCGGAGTCTGTACAGTTGCCCTTCATAACCAACGAAAACCTGCCTGAGGCTGCTAAAGTGGAGTGGTCGCATTGTGATCCATTAATGTTCGCCCATATATACGAGAACGGCTCTGACCAGCCTCACAGGCTGCACCTACTATATAGAGACCGAGTGAAAATAAATAAAAACCTCCTCAAAACTGGAGACCTGAGTCTGACCCTGAAACACCCCACACAGAGAGACAGTGGGAGATACAGATGTGATGTCTACACTAAGAACATCTGCATCAGAGGAAAGACAGTCCACCTCAAAGTCAGGTGTTTGTGTCTGTGTGTGTGTGTGTGTGTGTGTGTGTGTGTGTGTGCACGTGTGTGTGTGTCTGACTCTCTTGTGTCTCCACTGCAGGGAGAGTTCAGGACCAGGATCAAACAAGGGACATCAGGAACAGAGTCCTCTGATGGCGGATCAATCAGTTTGAAAATAACCAATGATCTTTTTATGGAAGCTGACTCCGGTTTACTCTCCATTCTTATTCTTCTCGATCTGAGTGCTGCTTTCGACACTATTTCTGGCTCTATTCTTCTCAGTAGGCTAGCTTCCATCGGTCTCTCCCATGCTCCAATAAATTCGACCTCCTCTTGGTAGGCACTAAATCAACATTATCCAGAACCAACTGTTTCTCTATTACTATCAATAACTGGCCAGTCTCGTTTCTTCCTCTGTGGATTGTTTGGGTGTCATCTTTGACTCTTTCAATTCACACATTAATAATGTCACTCGGTCTGCATATTTTCTGTTGTGCAACATTAACGGTTTCTGTCCTTTTCTCACTCCACATGCCACTGGTGTTCTTGTCCACAGCCTTGTTACTTCCTGGATTGATTGCTGTAATTCACTTCTTTTTGGTCTAACTCAAAAATCCATCCACAAGCTCCAACGCATCCAGAACTCTGCTGCCCGTATTATCACCAGGACCCCTTCTATCCATCACATCACTCCTGTCCTGCAGCAGCTTTATTGGCTCCCGGTCAAATATCGTATCAATTTCAAAATACTCTTGTACACATTTAAGGCTATTCATCAATTCTCTCTTCCATATCTGTCTGATCTGGTTGAGCTCCCCATCCCATGTCAGTGTCTTAGACCCCCTTCTTCCCTTTCACTCTCTGTCCCCTCCCCCTGTCTTGCCACCATGAGGAACAGGGCTTTCAGCTGCTCTGCTCCTCAACTCTGGAATTCCCTACCTCCTGACTTAAGAAATACTCTTCCTTCTCTCTCTTTATGTTCCAACTCAAAACTCACTTGTTCAAAAAAGCTTATCCTACATAACCTCTCCACTCTGCTATTTTATATTTGTTTTATATCTTATGCTTTTATGATTGTGTAAACTGCTGCTTTTATGTTGATTTTATTATTCTACTGTGTACAGTGTCCTTGAGTGTTTTGAAAGGCACTTTCAAATAAAATGTATTATTATTATTATTATTATTATTATTATTATTATTATTATTATTATTATTATTATCTGTGTGTTCTTTGATTATTGATCAGCAGTGTTGGGGAGTGACGGAATACATGTACCGCCGTTACGTATTCCATCCATCCATCCATCCATCTTCATCCGCTTAATCCGGGGACAGGTCACAGGGGGGAGCAGCCTAAGCAGAGAAGCCCAGATCTCCCTCTCCC